GGTTCTATTTTGGGCCCTTTACTTTTTAATATTTATATTAATGATTTTGTTTACTCTTCCAAAATTTTAAAATTTATTTTATTTGCTGATGACACTACTCTTCTCTATTCTCACTCGGATTTTAATGTACTTGTTTCGGTAATTAACTACGAACTAAATTTTGTTTACGATTGGGTTGTTTCAAATAATCTACGTATCAATTTAAGTAAAACATGTTTTATATTATTTGGTCCTAAAATTAGAACAGATATTGTTTATCCAGTTATATATTTAAATAATATTACTATTGAAAGGGTTGAGTCATTTAAATTTTTGGGAGTTATTTTGTCTTCTAACTTATCTTGGTTGAATCATATCAAACATATCTCCTGTAAACTGTCTAAAAACTTGGGTCCTATTTATCGATTGAGGTTTAAATTTCCTAGATTTATTTTAACAACTTTATATAACTCTCTTATTTTTCCTTATTTGACTTATTGTGTTTCTGTTTGGGGTGGTACATCTAAATCAAACCTTCATATTTTAACTCTAGCTCAAAATTTTTTTCTTCGCATTCTGTTTAAATTAAAGAGATTTGACCATGTAAGTTCATACTATAAAACAGCAAATATCCTTACCATAAACCAACTACATATTATTTATCTATTACTATCTTTTTTTAAAATATATAAATTAAATTATTGTCAATCTCTTAAAGATCAGATTAATTTATTTAAAAATACTAGGCAAAATTGTTTACGTTCTTATTCTGAATTTTACTTTTTGAAACCTAGAACAAATTTTTTCCTCAACTCCGTCTTATATATCTCTATGCGTCTTTGGAATTCATTACCGATGTCTACTAAAAATTCTTCTTCCCTTGCTCTATTTAGAAAATCTATCTATTTGCTCATTCAGTCTAATTATTTCAACCATGTCCTCTGTTAATGCGATTGTTTTCCGCTATGTACTTTATATTTATTCAATTTTAAGAAGGTTTATTAATACTTAAATAATTTAATTAATCTTATTTTTTCTTATTTATAGAACTATCATTATTTCATTGTGAAATATGAACATTTCTTTTCAATTTATAATTTTTGGTGTAAATTTTATGGTGGCCCAACAAGTCATATCTTCGGGTCTCCTAGCTTTTTGCCGAATAAACTCATTATTGAATTGAACTGAATTGAGGATTATATTGTTATAGTGATGACGATGACGATGATGGTGGGATTGATTTATTGTAGAGATAGCAATGTTGTTGCAATTGCTGATGCTGTTGTTGTTGCTGTTGTTTCCGGCTCTCAAAAGTGTTCATCTTGGAAGTGTTCATCTTGGTAGTGTTCATCTTGGTAGTGTTCATCTTGGTAGTGTTCATCTTGGTAGTGATCACCTTGGTAGTGTTCACCTTGGTAGCATTGAATTGAACGCACAAGAATAAAATGAATTAGATAATTTGCAAACCAACATCACGTTCAAACACTCATAAAAAATATATCGCAATCATTATTTATAACTATATGGGCTGTTTACATGAAAAACTTAAACGTTCTTAAACGTTTTGTGAAGAGTAATTAAACCATTTTACAAGCCAAACATCAAAGCGTCAACAATACAACGAAACATAACAACAACGAAACTATAAAAAACAACGAAATAACAACAAAACAACAACGAACCGACTAACCATCTCAATAACAAGAACAACAATTTTTTAGTTTCGACAAGCCAAACCGTTACAAATACAATAATTTTAAAAATCTGCCTTATACAAAAGCGAGTGACAAAAAGTATGTGAAACTGAAAAAATTAACGAATAAATAATGAAACGCAGGCAGAGGAATGAATAAAACGATGTTGAATTGTATGTTACCTCAATGGTAAAAATACAATCAGCTGCCAAGACAACCGTTTATATACTCAATGCAACTACATAAATACAACAACCACAGTAATGACACCAATACAACAACAACAGTAATGACACCAATACAAAAACTACAGTAATGACACTAATACAACAACAACAACAATGACATCAGTACAACAACCACAGTAATGACACAAATACAACAACCACAACAATAACATCATTACAACAACCACAACAATAAAGGCACACACATCCTTATTAGTAGCAACGGCAACATCAACAACAAAACAACAATACAGCCAGCATGATAAATGATGACCTTTAAGCGTGATTTATAGATTTCTGGTTCATCCATCACACAAACACACACACACACGTACGCACAAATACACACACACAAACATGCACACAAACACACACGCACACACAAACAAACACACGCACAAACACACATACATACATACATATAAGCCCGCGTTCCTACTTCTGCCATTTTTTTTTCATTGCTCGCAACCATCAATTGAGTGAGAGTCGACGTTGAATCAACTGTGATCATGTCAGTTAAGTGCAATGTAATGTAATTTAGTGCGTTCTAATGTTGCGCAACTTAATTCGAATTAATGCGATCTCATATAATGTAATTTGATCCTAAGGTAATAGAGGTAAATGTCATAAGATGAGATGTGACGTATGTTGGGTGGTTAGATGGTGTTACATGGTAAATGATGTGAGATGCCACAAGGTGTGGTGTAATGTGATGGAAAGTTGTGTAGTGCGAATTAACGACTTACAACAATGTACGTACGTCTCTCTTATTAATCTTTACCGCAGCTGAGTTTGCTGTTTTGTGATTTTTAAAAATTGCAGAATTGTATAAAGTTGTATATAAGAAGAGAATTTTAAAAACGAAATTCATAAAGTGTAATTATTTTGGGAGAAACGAAATTAAGTTGAAAAATATTTTTGATGGAATTGATCTACCTACCTGGATATTTATGTAAAATAAGTCTGTTTGTTAGGCAATAGGTTCCTCGCCAACTTCTCAAACAAATCACATCTTTCTTAGAAACTATCTACTTTGTTGAAAAATAAGAATTTAATTACATAGACCCACACTTGCTTGCAACACAGGTACACACCACACACACACACACACACACACACACAAACACACACAAACACATACACAAACACACATTTACATACACGCGCGCATACACGCACACAATATATATGAACCACATGTTTATTTATATAACAGAAGTTGTTTATTTATTCAGGCAAGTATATTTTATTTCACAGAAAATATTGAGACAAGTATGGTTATATTGATAAATGCATGGAAATTTTATTTTATTATTTTTCAAAAGTGTTTGAAAAATTTTCATGCGCCAATGTCCGCAGGCCACTTTGTGAATACGTGTTTGGTTTTTCAGTGTGCTTATGTTATTATTTGCGTAAAGACTGGTATGCGTGTGTATCTGTATGCATGTGTGTAAATGTGTGTGTTTGTGTGTGTGTATATATGTGTGTGGATGATGCGTGCATGTAGGTATGTATTGTGTATGTGTGAAGTGTTTGAGTATGTGTGTGTGTGTGTGTGTGTGTGTGTGTGTGTGTGTGTGTAACCGTGTATACATATGTATATACGTGTGTGTATGTGTGTTGGTGTGTGTATATGTGTCTGTATGCGAGTGTGTATGTGTATGTCTCTTTATGAAGGTGTTACTTGAAACAGAAGGCTTGCTTGAAGCTACGGATTGATATGTTGCTCACGAACGAAAGTTAAGTTTTGTTATATTTTACATATTTTTAAAATAAATAAATTAATTAATATATATATATCAAAAATAATAATATGTACACGTGTGTTTGTTTTTTATATGTTCTCATATTTTTTCATGTGGTTTCATTATTTCTTCTGTCTAAATAGCATATTTACGTGATGAGTCCTACTTATCAAAAACGTTGAATCGTTTCAAAAAAATTTCACTGATTTTGACATGGCAGATAAATGATGGATTCGGCGTGTAAAAATTTGAAACACAAAACAGTTAGCAAACGTAATTCATCTCAATTTAATCGGCCTATGTTATTCGGCATTTTTTTCAGATCGAAGAATACAAAAGTGTGAAACTTTAATTCGTAGCGATGAATTTACAAAGGTCAGCAATGTTTTTGATAGCAACTTATAAAATGCCTTCTGGGATGATGTTAATTATAATTATTAACTATTCATTAATCATAAATAGCTTTTCCTTCTATTGCAGAAACTCAATAATAAAGTTGCTTCTGCCAGTTACTTCAACTATTCAATGAAACAACTTTCTTATAAAACCTGATTAAAATTTTGCTTGTGAAGAGCTAAATTATAAACCTTTATGGTTTTATATGCACGAGTTATGCTTTCTAATAATCACATATATTCAACTGCGCCAATGTGTTAGCGTAATTTGGTGGGATTCATAATATTTAAAAAAAATACACATTTATTAGTAAAATAGTATAGATAAAAAAGGTTTGGTATAATGCAGAATATCTGAATGTCAAATTTGAAATATGTAAAAGGAAATTTTCATAAGATTGCAGTATAAAATATTAATCAGAACCAGAACTCATCTATTACCTGACATCATCTCAAGGCAAATATCAATGGATATTACGCTGAAAAATTATTTTGTACATTTCAGTGGCAGCTTCAAAGATTGTAAAGACATTTTTAGATCGCCAAAAAAAACCATTGTTGTAAAACCAGCTAGACATAATATACAATTTCACAATATTGCATCATCTGGATCATTTGTCCAAACAAAAATTTAACTTACCACAAAAATTATTGAAGACAGAAATATAAGAATGATTAATTTTATTTCCAATGAATTATTTAGAAATCTCAAATGAGAACCAAACATACAAAAGAAAGATGGATTGACGAATCATGGATGTGTTGTGCATGTATGAATGTATGTACGTGTGCATGTATGTATGTATGTTATGTATGTATGTATGTATGTATGTATGTATGTATGTATGTATGTATGTATGTATGCATGTATGTATGTATGTATGTTAAAACCAAAACATGATGAGTGACACTGAACCGTCAAACATCAAGTAACAAATGGATTAACACCTTGATTTGTCGTTAATTGCACATGTCGGCATTCAGTTGGATATTTTCAAGCACACAGATACGCAGGAACCGCTGCAACAAGCACGAAATGTGGTTGGTTGCAAAAAACAGTTCCCTGCTGTCACCTGATCTGACACTGATCATTTTGCCTATTTCCTTAAGAAATTTAAGGGTGTTGGGGTCCATCGGGCCGAGAACCTCAATGCATATTGGCAAGAATTCCATCGAGGGGAGGGCATTCCCATATTTTTTCATTTTCTCGTCCGCTGCCCTGGCCGCAGCCAAACCGCATTCTTTACTTGTCAGGTTTACGTATCGTTCGGCGAGGGTGCCAGGGACCGTAACATCCCACGCCAAACATCTGCCGGCTCTCCAAGGTATTAGCGTGCATCCGTCCGGTCGCCTACCATCATGCGCAGAAATGCCGGATGGTTCCTTGAGAACCGGGATTGAAGCCTTGGAGAAGAGCCGACAAACGTAATCGTTTAGCGCTGAGTGACGTAGTTGACGGCCCCCACCCAGGCGACAAACCAAACCGTGGTGCCCAAACTCGTCCGCCTCAGCGCCACATCGGCACGTGTATTTATTTTGAATGACCAGGCCAAGTCTGAAGCCAATGGCAAATCTCACAGACTCATCGTCAAGCCTGGTGCCCACAGAGGTGTTGGGCCACGATCTCAACTACCCACAGCTGGCAACGCTGGACATGGCCAACAAACGAGCGGTGGAAAAGTCGTTGCCGCATGAAGACAACAAATTTTGAAAGATTTTTTTTCGTTCAAAATTTGGACGTGCGTACGGTCTCCCGGGGCGGACACTAGGGGAAGAATATCGCGGCAACGAAAAAACCGGTGGAGCAGGGAAGACTGCAGGTCGAGAGTGGCAGCGGCAGAAAAATTATAAACAACGGGAGCCAGCTGAACCACGCTAAGCAACCCAAGCCCACCAAATCGCACCGGCAGCTGAGCCTGGGACCAACCACTGTTGGTCACTTGAACATTGCATATCGACGACAGGGCGGTGCGCAGGACTCCGTCAAATTCGCCCAATTTAGAAGGGTCAATGTATTTGGATGTACGCAGGAAGTACATCAATTTGGGCAAACTGAGGGCATTGCGGATAATAGTCAAGGCATCATGATCCGAAAGACAGAAAACACGACCCAGGGCGAATTTAAGCTCAGAGAGCTTTTGGTCAAAAAACTTTATTTGATAATCGCCCTCGACCAAGGGTGTGTCCAAAAAACTCAGTTCTGATGCACCAACTCTGGGTATTCCAGCCAGCGCATGTGGCACCTGAAATAAACTTTGGCAGTGAAGTTCGCATTTTTTAATGTTTAACTCTAAACCAATTGCAGCGGAGTTATGCTTCAAATATTTGTAGCTATCGGCCAGAGTTGGGCCGTCCGAAGCAATGCTGATATCTTCCAGATAAGCGCAAACAAAAGTGGACGAAGCTTTCTCTAAGAGTGGATGAAGAGTTAGTGCGAACAACAAAGGACCAAGGGGATCACCCTGCTGTATCTCCTTGGCCGATTCTACAACCCAAGAGTGGTAGCCAAGGGAAGAGACTCCGCCATAGGCAGAATGGCAAAAATTATAGATATTGGAGCAAAAAAGTTTGACAGCCACCAACATCGAGTCTCTTCTCAAGGCATTGAAGGCATTTTTAATGTTCAATTTCTGAAACCCCCATTGATCGGGGAGGTCGGTGACCAATCTTCGAACCACATGATCAGCGGCCTCAGCGCCACCCTTAATCCCGACACCCACCTGAGTCGGGTAGAATTTGGTCTTGAGTTCGACCACGACCAGGGCCAAGGCACATTTGCCGGCCAACCTCCTCCAAACGTTCCCAACCACAATCGGTATGACCCCTCCGTCTTTCTTATTTAAAGCTGGCCTCCAAAAAAGCCGGCCTCCAAAAAAGAACCGGCGGACGGAGAGTGGGCAAGCTCCAGATAGGATCAAATTAATGAATTGGGTTAAGGAATTCAGTGTGTCGTCGATTGGCAAGGGGCCTGAAAAAACATCCTTAAGGTGCTGGGGTCGTAGGCCATCCAAGCCTCCAGAAGAACCGTTTTTGAACGATTTAACGGTCCTCAGCACCTCGGCGGGAGAAACGCAACCAGCCGTTGGTGTCAATGCGGGAAAGACTCGCCTGTATACCGGAATTTTTGGGTGGATGGAACTTAATTTATCGAAGGTAAGCTCTCCGCCAGGCCCTCCGGCGAACAGACAAGTCTGACAGCCGAGGACAGGTTTCCCTGTTCAATACAAGATGACACAGCGTTGATCCATCGATCGGGGTTGTGCTTTTGTGATTTGGCATTATTGAACCCATCAAAGCACAGTACCAGATTTTCAAGACCAATAGTTGAATATTCGCTTAGACGCTTGTTGACCAGATTGCCCTGGTTGACCCGGTGACCCCCTTTGGAAGACTTCTGTAAGACGTATGGGACAAAACAGTGGAGTCTAACCCAGTGAGCCGGGTCATCAGGGTCATTATAAAAAAGACCGTTTTCTTGATGAACAACGTAAAAAGATGTCACAGAAATGATGTCATAGATTTTCTTAAAACAAGTGGTATAAACGTCATCTCTTGTTTTCCGGTGATAAAACGTTCTAGTCAAGATATAAGCGATCCAGTAAACAAGGATGACGAAGAATCAACGATGTTTCGTGTATGTGCCGAAAGTTGCAATGGACCGAAGATGAAGGACCCGGAAATTATGTTAAAACACATCATTGTACGCGAATGGCGTTTCGGGAAAAACACCGACAAAAACTCCGATACAACGAACAAACATGGCTGACAAAAATTCGTTAAATACTGTTAACGACACTCGCAGCAATGTCGTAGATAAAACCTGCAGACTATATGACGATATAAATCAAATAAATGCTTTGTATAACGCCATCAGCGACAACGGAATTAACGACAATTTGTTTTTCAAACTAATGCATTTAAACATCAGAAGTTTAGTTCACAAATCAGAAGACTTACTCGATTATTTAAACAACTTTTCTTTTAAATATAACATTATTGGTATAAGTGAAACGTGGCTGAATGATGACAATATCAAGTTAATAAATATTACTGGTTACGATTTTGTTGGTAAAAATCGGTCTGGTAAGCACGGTGGTGGAATCGGTTTGTATATTGATAACGGTATTACGTATAAAACAAGAGACGACATCGATAGCATTAGCAGCAGAGAATTATTCAGCATAGAAATAACAAACGATTGTTCCAATAAAAATGCAATAACATATCGGCCTCCTATGTATCTTCAACAAATCGAACAGGTACTACAAATCATAAGTCTAGAGAACAAATTAGTTTATCTGATCGGTGACATGAACATCAATTTACTTGATGCTGATTCAAATGTCAGCAAATTCCAACTTCAAAAATTATTAACATCATACAACCTATCAACTTTAATAACAACCCCAACAAGAATAAGTTTAAATAAAAATTCAGTCATTGATAACATTTTCACGAGCGAACCAAATGCAGTAGAATTATGTGGTACACAGGTATGTGATCTTTCGGACCACCTACCAAATTTTATAATTGTAAATATGAAGTCTAACAGAATCAAGAACCATTTTCTGAAGGAGAAATTATACTCGTTTACAAGTGAACGAATCAACAGCCTGAACGAATATTTGATAAACATGGACTGGTCAAACGTTTTAAGGATGTGAGGATGTAAATGTCGGGTTTCAACGATTCATTTTTGTAAAGAACTTCAACGAATGCTGTCGTATTTCATCAGTAAAAAAAAATTAAAAAAATATCACGTGATAAACCTTGGATAACCGATTATCTTAAAATAATGTTAAATAGAAAAACCAAACTGTATACAAAATATCTAAAAAATCCGAATATTGAAAATCTAATTGAATTAAAGTCAATTAGACAATCTTGCATCAGATTAAAAAATAAACTAAAAAAACAATATTATAGCGACATCATAGTAAAGAACATAAAAGATAACAGAAGAACGTGGTCGATTATTAAGAACATTATCAGCACAAATAAAATCACCAATATCGTCACATCAAACAGTGAAATTGTTCGTTCTCCTGCGGACGCCTTAAACGATTATTTCATCGGTATAGCTATAAAACTAGATTCATCTTTCAACAATTCAACACTCTGGAAAAATCACCTCACTAATAAACTTCAAAACTCGTTCTTCTGTCTGTCGACCTCAAGCGATGAAATAATTGCAACAGCCAGACTTCTCAAACCAAAAACAACCAGTGGATGGGATGGCATTCCTATGAAAATAATAAAATCTACTATACATTCAACAGCTCACATTTTGGAATTCATAATTCCTTTCTTTCAACTCCGGCACATTTCCACGATGTTTCAAAGTCTCAAAAATAGTACCGATTAAAAAGGATGAGGGATGCAATGATTTAACTAATTTTCGACCCGTTGCTTTTTTATCAAATTTTTTGAAAATAATAGAAAAAATAATGTACAAAAGACTAAATATCTTCTTCAAAAAAATTCCATAATTAACGATTCACAATTTGGATTTCGAGAGAAGTACTCGACTCAGCTGGCAATAATAGAATTGATCAGAAAAATAGGGATCGCAGCAGAGGACAAAAAATACATCGTAGGCACGTGCCTTGATCTCTCGAAGGCATTCGATTGCATCAACCACAACATCTTGCTGGCGAAACTAGACCATTATGGAATACGTGGCTCGCAACTGAAATGGTTCAGAAATTACTTATCGGAGAGAAGTCAATTTGTTAGCTGGCAAGGTACATGCTCGAGCGAAAAATTAAACCAAATCGGAGTACCTCAGGGCAGTATTTGGGGATTATTGCTATTCATTGTCTTCATCAACGATCTCACGAAAGTTTCAACATTCTTTGATTACATTTGCTTCGCAGATGACACTAATCTATTCAGTACAGGCAAAAACATCGATGAACTCATCTTGAAGACTAATAGTGAAATTAAAAAGGTCGTCTCATGGTTTGAATGTAATATGTTGACATTGAAGAGCAGAAAAACACAAATGATTATTTTTGGCCCAGTCCAATATTTAAACTACAAGGAGCCTTATAAGATCGTAATAAATAATTCGGATATTCTCGAAAGCAAAACTGTTAAATTTTTAGGGGTAATATTGGATCAAAAATTAACGTTTCAATAACATGTTCGATATGTTTGCACAAAACTAGCAAGATCAATTGGTCTATTAAATAAAATAAAATTTTTCTTGCCTAAAAGAATTCTTAACATGCTATATAAAGCCATCTGTACTCCATATATCTCATACTGCAATACAGTCTGGACTAGTGCCTATCCAACTACAACAAATCCAATAAGAATAATTTTGAAAAGAGCGATGCGAACAATCACATTTTCCAAAGCTCAATCCCATTCACAACCGCTATTCGCCACGACAAGCAATCTGACTTTCGATCAAATGAGTAAATATCACGCGGCAAAATTCATCGACAAACAATTGACTGGTAAACTACCTCCGATTTTTGACGGTTATTATAAACGAACGAAGAATCAAAGGCGCATCAATTTCATCTGTTCCAACAAATCAAAAACGAAAATTTTACATCAACACATCATTTGCAGAGGACCCAGAATTTGGAATTTTTTATTAAATAAAGGATTTAATTATGACAGATCGAACATGCAGAACTTTAACCATCATTTGAAAACATTTATTAATTTGATTAATTAAAATCACTAGTTTTAAGAATATAAATTACATTTTTATAAAATATTTATGACATCATGTATGCTCAGTTGTATGTATGTGTGTGTGCTGACGTATACGTAGATATTTTTATATACGTATGTGATCCTATTCTCTTCTATCTATAGCTTATATAGATAGATTCAATCAGGTATTCTATATGCAGTTTTGTATATAGAGAAATATAGACCTAACTTATTATTAGGATCAATTAGTAACATCTCAAAACTAATACATTTAATTTAGAGAATCTGAAGTTTTTTGTGGTGCACGATGATAATATTTTTACGAACAACTAGTAACACCGTAAATTTAATATATAACATTTAGAGATTCTGAAGTTTTTTGTTTGATGGCTGTGCCCGATGATTTTTTTTTTGTGATCAATTAGTAACATCTGAAGGTTAACATATTTCATTTAGAGATTCTGAAGTTTTTGGTTTAGGTGGCTGTGCTCGTTGAGTTTTATACTAACTCCTCACAGTCAACCTGCACCTTATTTTCTTTATTGAGGTCAAATAAATTATTTCGTTTCGTTTCGTATGTATGTATGTATGTATGTATGTATGTATGTATGTATGTATGTATGTATGTATGTATGTATGTATGTATGTATGTATGTATGTATGTATGTATGTATGTATGTATGTATGTATGTATGTATGTATGTATGTATGTATGTATGTATGTATGTATGTATGTATGTATGTATGTATGTATGTATGTATGTATGTATGTATGTATGTATGTATGTATGTATGTATGTATGTATGTATGTATGTATGTATGTATGTATGTATGTATGTATGTATGTATGTATGTATGTATGTATGTATGTATGTATGTATGTATGTATGTATGTATGTATGTATGTATGTATGTATGTATGTATGTATGTATGTATGTATGTATGTATGTATGTATGTATGTATGTATGTATGTATGTATGTATGTATGTATGTATGTATGTATGTATGTATGTATGTATGTATGTATGTATGTATGTATGTATGTATGTATGTAG